TCCCTATAAGAATATAAGCTCTACAGTGGCAGAGACTTCTGTGTTCTTCTTCAGAACTGTGAAGCAAACGTGCAAAAAATCTCAAACGAGGTCTGGCTCATCATAAGCAGGAAATAAATACTTAGTAAATAAGTAAATTAGATCTCATGTCTGTGGGCTTTGGTGTGGTTCCTTTCTATGGCAAATGAGTGGCCAGCGTGTCTGGGCAAAGTTGCTCTAGGATCCAATTTAGCACCTTAAAAAGCTATTAACCTCTGAGTCTGAGGACAGTGTATTTTTTGTATATACATAATTCCTCTCAAACATTATTTTTCAGCCTTCTTGTTCAAGTGACTATCTGATTATTTTGTCCCAATCTTCTGTTCATTTGATGGTTGTATTATTCATCATGGGTAGTTATGGCATTTTTATAATTAATCTTTAATTGCAATAGTTGCATAGCATTTCACATGAAAAATGGTTTACAAATTAAACCCACATCTCACCTTGGATAATTAGCACAGGTCTGACTAATGTGCATAAAGCCCTTGCCTGGCAGGGTGCTCTCTCCAATGACAATGTGTTGATTTTCTAATTAACAAAGGTTAAGTAGCATTTTTGCTTGAGGACCTATAATTTAAACTTATGACATTTGTCACCAAGAAAGATTTTACAGAGCACCTAAGTTGAACTCAAATAATTATCACTAGTGCTAGTGAATTCACATCTTTTGCATGATATATAATGACCATTTTCAGGACAAAAAATTTTTCTTCACATCAGCTAAATCAGAAAAAGTACCTTCCAGCTCACTGACCTATTTAAATAAATGAGTGGCCACCTAAGAAAAGAGCTTAATTTAGTTTTGCTTTACATAGAGAGAAATGGCATTGCATTCACCTGCTTTATAAATTAAAAAGAGGGGGTACAAAACTTTATTTAATGCAACAAATGCAAATTAGACCATGGTCTTGTGTTATTGCCCATTAAGAAAAGGAGCAAGAGAGAAAAAATGTCAGACAACAGTACTGAAAAGGAAAAGGAGGAGAAAGTAAGAGTAGTTACTGAAATATAGAGAGGGAGACTGTAAAGCACACAGAGAGAAAGGTTATAAATCACAGACCATAGCAATTCAGAGCTGTAGGAAACCAGAGACATTGTCTAACTCCACCTCCTTTTTTATGGATGGGAAAACTAATGCTCAGAGAAATTAAGTGATTTGATGAAAGCCACACATATATACATAATTTCTCTCAATTATTATTTTTCAGCCTTCTTGTTCAAGTGAATATCTGATTATTTTGTCCCAATCTTCTGTTCATTTGATGGTTGTATTATTCATCATGGGTAGTTACAGCATTTTTATAATTAATCTTTAATTGCAATAGTTGCATAGCATTTCACATGAAAAATGATTTACAGATTAAACCCACATCTCACCTTGGATAATTAGCACAGGTCTGACTAATGTGCATAAAGCCCGTCAACAGTCCTGCTAGAAAGAGATACACAAACACCAATGCAGAAAGAGAGATTGAAAGATACAGAACACGAAAAAGACCAAGACCCAAGATAGGCACAGTCCGAAAACTCTGCCCTAAAATCTCTTATGGAATAAGCCCTGTATATATAAATAATTAAGTATGCATATGTATCTAAATTTACCTTAGCGATACAAAAATATTATCTAATTTCAATTTATTTGCTCTGCCAAATGACCCTTTTAAAATCTCCATTCTTCTTTATACTAACACTGAGTCTTCTAAAAAAATCTCTTCTTCAAACTTTCAGTCCTTGCAGAGGATTCATTATATACAAATTCTTTCCAAATTAAAATACATTCCGGTTAGATAAAAAGTTAAAAGAAGTAAAATTGTTGAAAGAAGTAAAATTACAAAAGTGCTAGAAGAAAAAAGTTCAATGAATAATAATTATTGTCTCTCCCATTCCCCCCCCCCAAAAGGGAATGACATAAATAAATAATTTTTTAAAGAAGATTAGGAAAGACAATTAAAAAGTATTCAATTCACAGTTTTTGAAGCAATGAACTCTTTCTCCCACTAGTCAATTGGACTGATATAAATTAAAGCAGATGCTGTCCAGTGTTAGAATTAATGTGGAGAAGGTGGTAATCTCAGACCCTACTGCTAAAATATAAATTGAGAAATTATTCTTAGAATAAAATATATTTCAAATGCCTTTAAGATGTATATACCTTTTTACCTAGCAGTCACATTAAATGTATACTTAATTAAGTCTGAGGAATCCATTTTAAGGGATAACTGAACAAGTACATAAAGATTGTTATAAGGAATAAATGATTATAATATAATTTAAAATAGAAATTTGAAAAAAGATTAAAAACACAGTCATAGCACAGCAAAATAAGTGATGGTGCATTCATAGAACAAGATGCTATGCAGATACTAAGCACGATTTTCAGGACCAGGAGGTGGTACAGTGGCAGCAAAACTAGACCACATGGGAAGGTTTGGGATTTGTGTCCTGAGACCTCTCTGAGCATACAGGGTACACTCATGCATACCCATGATCACGGTTGACTGAGACTGGGGCAGATCACAGTGCAAAGGCCATTAGGAGTGCTGGTCTCACACTTTCTCTCCCTCTCTCTCTCTCTCTCTCTCTCTCTCTCTCTCTTTCTCTCTCTTTTCCTCTCTCTCTGTCAGAAGAAATAAAAAAGCAAGCAAAAAACACAGAGAGACAAAACATTGTTCATTGTGAATGTATTGCTTGGAAAGTGTTTTATGCTATATTAAGTGAAAAAAGCAAGTTTGAAAACAATGGGGTATATTTCATTTCTTCTTTTATATTTTTTACACATGCATATGTTCATAGATAAAAGCAGAAAAGGCATGTCCCTGAAAGTGAAAGCAGTTATATCTAAGTAACATAGTCTCTTCTTATTTTCCCTATGCTTTATGGTTTCCGCAGTGAAAAATTATTACATTTGTGATCAGGCAAAAGGAGAGGGGGATATCTAAAAATAATGATTTCAAGTTTTCAGCAGATTTTGATATGAGATAATTGTCTTAATTGACCAGTGATGAAAACTTAAAAAGCCAAGCATTTATTTAATAAAAGACCTTTTGGAAATCCCCTCTTGCGAGAACAAAAGCCATAGTGGCTAAAATGATAGACACCAAATTGAAATTCTAACACGCAAAGAGTGACTAATGGGTTGAAATTCTTCCAAGTCAGGCAAAGGCCCTGTTTCTCTTTAGCACAGAGATGTGAAGCTCAACTGACAAGCAAATAGCAAAATGGGAAATCCTTCAAAGTGGTTGTGTTTAATAACTTCTTTTGCTGTCTACTATCTCATAGCTTTGATCAGAAAGGGCACTGAGCTCTCTTCAACTAATCCTCTATTCAAATATCTTATTAAATAAAATACTCCCTGGAGAATCATCACTCAAACCAATGCGAGCCCAATGAAAGGACTGTAAGGCTTGGGTTTATATAGACAATAGAGCAATTCATTTGCCATCTCACTGATGAGGGTTTACAGGCATAAGCAGATGCTAATCCATCCTGCAACTGCAGCCTTTGATCCACCAGTCCTGTCTGCTGAGTCTCTTGGGTTGCACATGGTTTCCCAGGATAACCTAAGTAATCAGGCTCTATCCCCAGCCTACCAATATTACCTAAACACTGCTGACCCTATGGACTCCATTACTGCCATTACACCATTTTTAAAGATATTTTCTCCTATATTTCAGAAATACATACAACCATGGGGGCCTGGGCCAAAAGTTCTTTCTCTGTATTTGTCAACAAAGAACAGTGTTCAAACCCAGAAGCTCAGGAACAAGTGAGATCTAACACAATTTTGCCACTGGGGAACCATGAGTCCTTGAGTAAACTTCTTCATTTCTCTAAGCCTCAGTTTCCTCATCTGTACAATGGGGATAATGAAAACATACCACTTTGACAGGTTGTCATGAGGAACAGGTGAATAACATACATATAAGGTGCTTAATAAAATACCTAGTGCATAGCCCTCAGTAAAAGAGTAACTTGGTTTTATTTGTATTAACAGTATTTTTTCTAAAGCCTTATCAGATATTTCTTTCAATAATTTTTACCTACTATTCATTTTAGATTAGTTTCCAGAAAAGTTGTTACTCTAAGATACAGACATGTCTGTAAATTCGAGTTCCTTCTTTTATAGCAGCTGCTTTAAAAAAAATCATAACTAAGGATATTATAGACACAATTAAATCCTTTTGTGATATAATGCTTCAGTGACTTTTTCTATGAAATTTGTTAGGAATCGTTTAATATTTTCATGCTCATGAACCGCAGTCTAACTCTATAACTTATTCTGAAAATCACAGAGAACATGCTCTTTGTGCTGTATATCTTACAAGGACATTTATACAAAAGCAATGAAATCTAACCTGACCTAGTAATAAATATGGTGTAGCTGACTTCTGTGTAAAATTATCTATTCTAGTTTCTAACCACCCCAGACAAGAAGCCCTGGGTACCCTTAACATGAACTTCAAAGGAAGCATTTCCTAAGACAAGAACCAAGACGTACAATCACATTTCAAATGGATTTATGCCTTCCGACTAATTGACTTGTTAACTATGCTAATATATGCATGCCATTCTGCCTTTTTATATTTCTCTCAATAGATAATGCTATAGAACTGAACGTCGTGAAATTAAAGAGCAAAGAACCTAGAGATTTCTATAAACCTCTTTCCTATAGGATTAGATTTCCAAAACAGCTTACATAATTTTTGTGTATCTCCTAACATTTTATTTCTGTAGCAAGTGTATTGCTTTTCAGAAGACAGCCTCTTTTAATTAGGCATTATAGCCTAAGGGAGAAAGCATCAACCTTTTCTCCTTAGACAGGAGTAACTTGAATGGAAGGATGGTAGATGCACTTAGCAGTCTTGTTTCCTTCCACAGTTGTTCAAAACAGGATGAATAGAAACAGAAGAAATAGCAGGGATATCCCATCTGAACTTCCTGCCCTCTGTCTTCCCCAGGTGGTGCTGGAGGCCAGCAGGGCTTCCTGGGCTGCATCCGCTCCTTGAGGATGAATGGGGTGACTCTTGATCTGGAGGAAAGAGCAAAGGTCACATCTGGGTTCAAATCCGGCTGCTCAGGCCACTGCACCAGCTATGGGACGAACTGTGAGAATGGAGGCAAATGCATAGAGAAATACCACGGTTATTCCTGCGATTGTTCTAACACAGCATATGATGGAACATTTTGCAACAAAGGTAAGGCAGAACCGATTTCCAGAGTCATTTTTACGCATCTCCTTAAGCCCCAGTTCATCTACTTAATGATTTTTTTTTCTGTCACAAACAAGTGTATTTCCTTCTGAGAGTAAGATGATCAGAAGTCCTCTCCCACTTTAGGTAGCAAGTTTCCTAAACCATTCCTAATCTTTGTTATTTACTAAATGAGAGAAGCTTTGAGCTTGGCACACAATCTCCTGATTCTAGGAAACCTTTCAGTGACTGAAACCTTACAAAACAAATAGCCTCATCACATCTTAATGGTCAGTTACAAATTAGAGGCCTCTGAAAGGGGACTCAGCCCCGACCCTCCCAGAGCAGGCTTTTTGGTAGACAGATGGACAGACGATTGAATGATTGATTGGTAGACAGATTTCTGCAGTGAGTCAGCCAGTGCAGTCCCCCACTTTACGCGGGGGTTGATGGTCCCCACCTATCTCTAGTTGCTTCGAGACTGGACTCAAGCTATATTCACAAGAAAGCTCCTTTGGTCAGTCAATGTCACTGTCATCATTGCCATTTACTTAAGGTGCCTGTGTGAGTGGCCCTCAGCCTAGGCCAAACTTCAGGGATCCATTAATACCACATCTAATTGACCAACTGTTATGACCACGTTATTTCAGTCTTACGTGATTCCTTTAATCCCCAACAAATCCTGCAAAGCCAATGAGGAGAATACAAGAGCCCAACGCATATGCACAGTATTATCTGGGATAAACCCTGTGATCCGGCATGCCCAGAAGAAATCCATTCAACTGGTCTGTGGCTTCACTTCCCCCATGTACAGAAGGGGGATGAGGAGAAGTAGAGCTGGCACGGCTCCTAAGCTACAACTGAAGTGCATGTAAGTCACTTCACTCTCTAAGCAAATGTATAGCGTTGGTGTAAAGTTTTCTGCAAATGGTCGGTACATCCCTTAATAAGAAGCTTTACATAAGTAGCCTAGTCATACTCTCATGAATACATGAAGGGTTGTTTACACTGGCATTATTCACACACAATGCCACACACTGAAGGAAGAATTGTTCTATAACATTCTGTGTACATCCAGGCCACTGTCTGGCGGTGCTGTAATATGAGCATACAAATTAGGTCAGACAGGGTTTGAGGAATGAGCATGAGACAACAACAAAGGTGGACAGAAACGACACTGTGGAATAATACCCTGGCACGTTAACAGTGCTATTACAGTGCATTTTTCTGCTCAGGACAACATGGTTCCATGGTTTTCCTGTGGCACACAATGGAACGGGCTTGCAGAACACATTAATTTTGCACTTGTAGAAATGACAGTCTTGCAATTACCATTCATTGTGCTTGATGCTAATTTAATGCAGTCATTCTCTTGCCAAAGTAATGTCTGAATGCAATCAAGTAAGCACTAATGCCTCAGAAATTCCAGTACGTAAGTGCCAATTTAAAGAAAATCACAATCCCCTTAATTTTGGAGAGTTAGGTTAAACACAGTGGCTCACACAAAACCTCTGGGGGTTAATAAGCGACATTCAGGAAAAGCAAGCCGGGGGCCTATATACCTTTGCATTTAGGCAGCATCAGAGATAAAAGTAAATGAGTCCTATGTGTTTCCTTTGACAGCATTTCAAAGGGTTTACACAAAGATACCTCAATATTCTCTTAATATCATTTTAGTAGTATGAGTTTGTTTGATTCAATGCCTGATTTACAACCCCCCAAAAAAGATTAAAAACTGTAACATGTTTTGGAGAAACATTTTTGAGCAACTTTTCTGGGTTAAGACAAGTTTCTTCTGCATCTGGGGAGGAGAGTCAAGCTGGATTAAAGGAATCTAGCTCCTTCAGGTTCATCTGCTCCTTCAGGTTCTGGATAACCTTGCTGCTGAGCTCCCAGCCCGTGCCTCCTCCCTCTGGGCCTCCTGCCCAGGCTGCTGGGGGCCGTGCCAGCAGTTCCTATAGCCCTGCCCTTCACAGTGGTGCTGCAGATCAATAGCTCAGCCCCTAGAAAACCAGCCATATCATTGGCCCAAGAATTATTTAAAGAAAACCCATTTCTGCCTTTCCTTCCATAGTCTAGGTCTGTGCTTATGCATGTGAAAAAATGTTCACAATCTCTTGCAAAGTGAACGAAGCAGGTCCCAACCACACACAACCTGACTACATGTTTGTGCAAAATCGAAAAGACACACACAGAGGTGCTCACACACACACACACAAAGAAAACAAACCAAGAATACACACCAAAATAGTGATGGTAATTTTTTTGCAGGGAGCTGAGAAGAGCTGTATTTTTATAATTGCTTTCTTTCTTGCCTGTATTATTTCTAATATTTTCATGTGATGTATTACTTTTAATTTCATTTTTTTTTTTTGGAGGGGAAGGTTCTTCTTGAGAAAAACAATACTAGGAGGCAGAGTTCTTATCCTGGTGTTGAGGGTTAACTGTCCCTGGTCAGAAAGTATCTAGCTATTGGCTAGAAATGATTGGACCATCTAGTCAAACTAGCTGGAATGAAGTAGCGTGTCAGGGGGAAATCACATATAATTAGATTACCTTCGAAAAGCCATCTCTCCATACATTTAACTAAGCACATTGTCCCACACTCACCGGAGGTGATCACCCTTCAGATGGGCTCTGGAGGAAGGACTGCCATGTTGAGGGCAGGATGTATGAAAAGAAAAACCTCGACATTTGTGTCATACTCAGCCACGTGAGAGGCTCTCAGGAGGACAGGCTTGTGACCTAACGTAGCCCAAGGGGACAGATGAGCTGCGTCTCTGCCCTGCTCAGTCTCAGCCCATCCAGGGGAATGGAGGGACAATGGCCCTCCGTGTACACTGTCTCTGTCTCTCTTCTCCTCCTCCTTTCCTCTGTCTGCCTCCTGTTCCATGAGCACACCACGGCGTGGGGAGATCGTTGTTATCACTGCGTCCATTTTACAGGAAGTAAGACCCAAAAGGACGTAAGAACTTGCCCCAGTGTTCACATCCTAGCGAGTGGCAAGACTTTTACATCAACAAACATCACGGCCCCTAGTCTTACAGATTTTTAATTACCGTGACTGAGTAAAACAGGAGGATGTTATCAGATACAGAACTCACCATAAGAAAAAATGGGATGCACGTCTGAACAAGAACTCTTTTCTGCCATGTTTAGGTGTGCAGTGTATTCATTCCTTGACTCATTCTGTCAACAAACGTTCTCTGACCAAATGTGTCTGGCAGCCTTGGGTGTGTGGTTGAGTCTGACTACACTGAAAAGTTCAGAAGTTCACATTTCAGTGGTTTATAGATACGGCATCAGGAAAGCCCTGAGTAAATGATAGCAATGCATGTGAATTAGACGTCATCTAGGCTGCTGAGAACAGGTTTTCATTATGATCTCTTCTCTGAGCCAAGTCCAGTGAGAGCTTATCATCAAGAAGCACAAAAATATCCCCTAATTCACTTGTCAGCAGCTTATTTTTTTTCCTGTCCAATAGACATCTTCATGTTCATCTGCCAAACAAGGTCTATAGTTGAAAAAATATCTCTTTAAATACTCTGAAACTATTTTATGAGTTTAGGGAGTTCTGTTTTCTTCTCAAGCATTCATTGTTTATTGCTTAAAGTCCAAAATTTAGAGAACGGACCCCCCCAGGACTGCTGAGTGACTAAGAGTGGAGGATGGATGGTTCCAGCACCACGGTGCTGTGGCATTACCATCACTGATAGTCACAAATACACGCCACCCTTGCTCCAATCTGGCCAAGTCTCCTACTCTCCCTATGAATATCATGACATCGAATTACGTTTTATGATCTCTGTTATTAATGTGGGAGAAGAAATCACCTAGGGCCAATTCAAGTTCCTACGTAGACCATGGGTCTGAAGTGAAATGTGGGTTTGAATCCAACTTCCACACTCACATCACAGAGCCTCATCTTCAGGAATGAGGTACCTACTTCTCATCGCCAGTGCGAAGATCACAGGGAATAATGCGAGCACATTTCCAGAGACGTTGGAGCACAGGGATCCAACTAGGAATGTTCCTTTTCATTCTCAGCACCTCTTCCCTTTTGCTTTTTTGCTTTTAGTTTAAATCATGTTGTGCTTTATTCCTTCCCTAAAAGTTTTAAATGTCAGATGCCCCAATTGACACTGTGTCAATGACCCCTAAGTCCTGAGTTGTCACTTTGGTACCTGCGCAAATGACTTACCATTTATGTAATCTAGTGGTCAATTTTACTTCCTGAGAGTCTCCCCAGGGAGGTAAGTGGAGTATTCCTTAAAGGGCGCCAAATTCTTTTTTTTTTTTTTTTTTTTTTTTCTGGAGAGGTTTTTTTGTTTGTTTGTTGTTTGGTTTTTGGGGGGTTTTTTGCTACAGGGCGCGTGTGCTTGCCAGACAGAAAGCAAGAAATCACTCCCCAGGGGAGATGGCCATGCTGCAATCCCTTCTCCTCCATTCTCCTCTCAGAATCTTGGGCACGCATGCACATGCACCCAGCGTGAGTTTTAAGCCACCAGGTCCAGGACGCAAACCGCAGCCGACTACGTGGGAGTCCAGCGACATAGCCATTACGCCAACTGCTGGTCCCAAGGGTGCCGAATTCTAACTCATATGTGAATCATTTTCTTAGCAGTCCTCACGGGCACCTAAATTTTCCTTCAAATCTCCTATTTATTCCACCCCATCTCTGTGATCAGCAACACAACCAATGCTATTCTAAACCAATGTTATTTCATAAATAGAGAAGTTTGCATTTTTTTAGTTAAAGAAAGAAGTTAATACTACATAGAATAATGAAGAAGTATAACTGAATCTTCTTTTTCTTCTTTTTTTTAATTTGCTAAAGGATGCACGGACTTACCAGAGAAAGACGGGTGGCAGGAGAGAGGTGACAAAGCATTCTGCTCCTTCAGCCTGTCACAGTCCCTTCTCCTCCTTTCAGGATTTTTGGACATGCACACCCTCATGCCCAGTGTGTTTTTCAAGCCATTGAGTCTGGGACTCAAACAAAGCAG